TCGCATAATGACGTTAACGTTAAGCATTTGAGAGATTTAGCATAGTAACGTGAAAGGAATCCAACTTTTATCACTACTTGTCCAGTAAATCAATGTTTCCACAACTATTTCTTTAAGCTTTGCCAGCATGTGAATCTTATCTGAAATCATTTAATTATTTTTTTTAATAAGGAGAAAAGAAGATACGTGAGACTGTTTAGACATGTTAACGGCTTATATTAAAACTCAAATCTGATATTAGTATTCTAAAACCGTAATCAGGTTTTAGCCACAAAGATAAGATAATTTACCATATAAGTACTGGATTATTTACGTTAATATATCATACGTTTAAGGTATGTTACGCGTGGAGCCTGACTTCATGACGTCACAACTTAAGTCATAACGTTATGCAAAGAAAAGGGGTAACGAGCGAGGCATCGGAACGTATATCAAAGTCAATTCATCATACAATTTGTCAAATAAAATCAGAAATTTTCGCGACGCAGAAAATTACTTTATAAATATTTCAAATGCAGTTTATGAAACACGTCGATTTTTTAAATTTTTTTTCCTTGCCAAGGCTCCAAATTATTAGACGAGTGTCATAGATATAGGATCTTAAATGGGTAATGTTATAATATTGAATTTATGAAATGAGTTGAATAATGTCCAGCTCTTACTTTTCTTGGCTAGAAAAAGCTGGACATTATTTAACGAGTTTCATAGTTTAATTTTAAATCAGTATCCATTTGAGATTCCTTTTATCACAGTTTTATTTCAGTAGAAATTATAAAGATAGAAAGAAGAACGAATATATCATTCATTCTGACAGACCATGCACTTTTCATTTGTTGTAAAGAATAGTCCGAAACAATGTTGGACTAGTATTAACGATTAAAAGTATGTTTAATTTTTTTATATAAACTATAAATAAAAAACAAGCGTCCATCCGAATAAGCAGATCATACAAAGACAATAATTTTTCATCACAGAATGCCCAGTACGTGTGATAGCATATCGCATGATACGGTACCCATTAGAGCTGGCCTAATGTAGACGATTAATGTTTACCCTAAAGTGTCACTTTCACAATTAAGCATCACATTGTTGCGATATTCGTGTGAAAGGGGGAATACTGGGTGCAGAAAATCACATATTTACTGTAATGTATTTGTGAGCGGATATTTTCAGTATTTGATTTGGAATATTATACTGTACATAAAACGTATATACTTCTGCCAGTTATCATTTAAAACCTGTTTGTATATAGGGCAGATTCCATGTTATAGGTATTCAGCCGCCTACACTCCCACCCCTCACACCCGTTATCAACTGTGCCTTTGTTTAACTTGTTATTGTTGTTGTTGTCTTAGGGTTTTACATTTTCATATGATGCTAAGTTATACATGACATAACAAGCCGCTGTGGGGTTAAATTTTCCATATTTAGATGAACTGGAGCAACGTTTCGCTATTTCCCATTCGTGACTCCATTCGAACACTTGCCATCAAAATGTTCATAAAAACAAAAAAGTTCCAGAAGGTGGGGTTTAAAAAGTTTCGTTCATGATTGCCACCAATCAGTAAAGAGAATAATGCGCAATAATTGTACGGGGTTATTTGGATCAATTAGAATCGCATAACGAGATATGCAACACATTGAGATATAAAAATATGAAACTGCACATACTGTAATAAAAATGTACCGACTATGTGATACATCTAAATTTAGAACGGTGCTTTCATGTAAGGTCTAAAATGAAGGCTTTAGCCTGGAGAAAATAAAACTTGTCAGATCCAGTTAGCGCATGACATTTTATAACGGACAATCAGAAAGACCTAGCATTGGCAGTATCACTGTATTTTGACAATAAGTAAAACTCAATCTCAAACCAATCCTATGTGTGTTAAGATCACCATGCTTAGAAATAATTTAAGTAGTTTCAGAATATATGTAATTCATTTATTTATCTTTCAGTCAATAACTTCATTATCATATCATCAAATATAGAAATGAATATATGGGTATTTGGTTATTTTCGTAATTAGAATAAGAAGCATTATGTTTTGTTTTATATTGTTACGTATAAACTATATTTTCCAGAGAATATTACATCAGTTTAATATTATTTATAGCATTGGATCCATGACCTTAAGAGTGTACGCTAACGAGAATAATAATAACTTAGTTCATTTATTTGGGGGTGAATTCGTAAGTATACATAATGAGAAAGATTTAGCTACTTTAGTTACATAGGTCATGAACGCTCAGGTTGCCTAGTGGTTAGATTGTCCGCCTCAAGATGCGGTATGTGTGTGTGTGTGTGTGTGTGTGTGTGTGTGTGTGTGTGTGTGTGTGTGTGTGTGTGTGTGTGTGTGTGTGTGGTATATATATATCTTGGATCCTAGGCTATTAAAAATCATAAAACTGAATTGCTATGCAAGCATGTAATCTTCTCTGGATAATATAGTTTATACGTAACAATATATATATATATATATATATATATATATATATATATATATATATATATATATATATATATATATATATATATATATATATATATATATATATATATATATATATATATATATCCAAACCTATGAGTTTGAACACGTCGATGGGTCAAATAAACCAGATTACCATCTCCCAGACAAAATCGACTTTGTAATTAAAAAATGCAAATCAAGATATTTATATTCCGTACTCCAATGAATTATTTATATGAAAGTTTCATTTTTATTGATATACATGCAGCTGTGAAGTATCTATATTTAATTGAAGCTTTCATTTTGGCATTTCATTGCAAATAACTATGAAGAGGACGTATCACAGATACCCATAGGGAAATCTTGCGTCTTGTATGTAGCTCAGTGATGGTTGTTTGACTTTCTCTTGAAATTTATATATAATTCCTTTTTATATGGTATCTTTATAATCTGACTTTAGTATCTAACCTTATCATTTGGGTAAATCGTTCAGATATTCTGTGGGGGACCAGAGTGGACAAATAGTCTAAAGCGCTCACCGTTACGGATCATTGCCATGTCACCTCTGTCTGCGTGGGTTCGAGTCTTGGGTTCGGCCAAAGTGTGTATGCGAAAAAGCTTGCCTGTAGTTTCTCGTGGATCGGTGGTTCTTTCTGGGGTTTTCTCGGGTTCTTCCTCCACCGTTTATATTTGCCGCCATATACAGCATATCTTGTGCTGAAAGATGGCGTTAAACCCTACAACAACATCAACCAATATTCTATGCATTTATAGTTATCATCTTTCGTAAGGCAAATTTAATGTATTCATTTAAATTTTTGGTATATTGACAGGATGTGTATAATAAATGGCTCATGACTACACGATGACTGCTAATATACCTCAAACACTCTTTAAGAATTCATTTCCATAGCTTTTTGGAGGGTTTTAAGAAATGGAAAAATAAACTCTGGATTGGTACTTGAAGTTTGGTCTATTGACATCACCCTCTGACTCTTCATCATTGACAAATTAAATTCAGATTATTTTACATTTTACTATTGGTGCAATGTCTTTGCGCTAAGCGTAATTATCAATTACTAATTTTCTTCCAACATGCGACAGAGAAGTGTCTCAATGATCATCTGAGCGTATATATTAGTGAAATGTCTAAATTATCCCCATGACGTATGTAACGGAGAAGTGTCTAAATGATCATCATGACGTAAGTAACAGAGAAGTGTCTAAATGATCAGGGTATATGTAAAAGAGAATAGAGTAAATGATCATTATGACGTATGCAACAGAGAAGAGTGAATGATCTCCATGACGTATGTAACAGAGACGAGTCTAAATGATCATCATGACGTATGCAACCGACAAGTGTCTAAATGATCCTCATGACGTATATAACAGAAACGAGTCTAAATGATCTTCATGACGTATATAACAGAGACGAGTCTAAATGATCTTCATGACGTATATAACATAACTGTCTAAATGATCCTCATGACGTATATAACAGAGATGAGTCTAAATGATCCTCATGACGTATATAACAGAGAAGTGTCTAAATGATCCTCATGACGTATATAACAGAGATGAGTCTAAATGATCCTCATGACGTATATAACATAGAAGTGTCTAAATGATCCTCATGACGTATATAACAGAGACGAGTCTAAATGATCTTCATGACGTATGCAACCGACAAGTGTCTAAATGAAATGATCCTCTTGATGTATATAACAGAGAAGAGTCTAAATGATCTTCATGACGTATATAACAGAGACTAGTCTAAATGATCCTCATGACGTATATAACAGAGAAGTGTCTAAATGATCCTCATGACGTATATAACAGAGACGAGTCTAAATGATCCTCATGACGTATATAACAGAGATGAGTCTAAATGATCCTCATGACGTATATAACAGAGAAGTGTCTAAATGATCCTCATGACGTATATAACAGAGATGAGTCTAAATGATCCTCATGACGTATATAACAGAGAAGTGTCTAAATGATCCTCATGACGTATATAACAGAGACGAGTCTAAATGATCTTCATGACGTATGCAACCGACAAGTGTCTAAATGAAATGATCCTCTTGATGTATATAACAGAGAAGAGTCTAAATGATCTTCATGACGTATATAACAGAGACTAGTCTAAATGATCCTCATGACGTATATAACAGAGAAGTGTCTAAATGATCCTCATGACGTATATAACAGAGACGAGTCTAAATGATCTTCATGACGTATGCAACCGACAAGTGTCTAAATGATCCTCATGACGTATGTGTGTGTGATTTAGATTTTTAAGGTAGATCAAACAATTTTTCAGTCATATCGCTACGATGTCTGCAGTGTGGCAAGTGTATAGTGCTCTCTAGCACTGTGGCATCATGACGCAAGCATGTAGCATCATGCCCCACTCAGCTCAGTACCAATATCCTGACTCAGGGTCGACCAGTCCTAACACTAACATCCTAATGCTGAGCGTCTAGGGAGGCAGTTGTTATTATCATTTTAAAAGTCTTTTGACTCGGCCAGGGTTCAAACCCGCGATATCATGCACCAGAGGCGAACGCTCTAACCACTAGGCCACCGGAGCGTTCACACATCTTGGCATTTGCAGATCTAATGTGCATTTTGTCTTGTCGCATTATAGATGCCGTAGGGTAGCGGTTATTTTCATGAGACAGGAAGTATGCTGGATGAAGTCATCGGACCAGAGTGGGTGGGCAACCGTGGAGTGGCTTTGGACATGGAACATTACTCCAATTGCCTCAATATTAAATAGCCGGCAGGTATTGATGTGCCCTAAAAATACTAGACCAAACAGAATATAGATATCGTCCACTAAGAATATGATGAAAATTTACACCTTATACTAAGAGATGGTAAAACTATAAGGAATCAATGATATTTAAATTTCCTTTATGTGCTTCTTTTTCTATCTGTCACTTGCCGTGTGTACTCGATTATAAGTCCAGCCCAGTTGAAAACTTCACAGACCCAAATGTGCCATTTAAATCTTTCAACATGTTGAAGATGAAAATTGTCCTTGAAACATAATACTTCCTTGCCTAATAAATTGGCAATACCTACAAGGCGTTCATTAACAATGACTAAACAATGCAACATAATAATAATAATAATAATAATAATAATAATAATAATAATAATAATAATAATAATAATAATAATAATAATAATAATAATAATAATAATAATAATAATAATATAATAATAATAATAACAGTAACGACGACGACGATAATAATAATAATAATAATAATAATAATAATAATAATAATAATAATAATAATAATAATAATAATAATAATAATAATAATAATAATAATAATAATAATAATAATAATAATATAATTATAATAATAATATAATAATAATAATAACAGTATCGACGACGATAATAATAATAATAATAACAATAATAATAATGATAATAATAATAATAATAATAATAATAATAACAGTAACGACGACGATAATAATAATAATAATAATAATAATAATAATAATAATAATAATAATAATAATGATGATAATAATAATAATAAAAATGATAATAATAATAACAGTAACGACGATGATAATAATAATAATAATAATAATAATAATAATAATAATAATAATAATAATAATGATAATAATAACAGTAACGACGACGATAATAATAATAATAATAATAATAATAATAATAATAATAATAATAATAATAATAATAATAATAATAATAATAATAATAATAATAATAATAATAATAATAATAATAATAATAATAATAATAATAATAATAATAATAGATATAAAGGTTTTTACAGTCTGTTGCCGATCGTATTTTCAACAACTAGTTCATAATCCATAATGCAACTGTACGTTCATTTATTTCAATTAATTCTCGTTTATCGATGTGAACGTCTCATCGTAAGCAATGAAATCAATATTTAATTGGTGGGAGAGATGAGGAAGAGAAAGTTGCGTAATTGTGGAATAGGGTAGTTTTGCGCATTTCTCGTATACATGGTGCACTTTTTGCCAAAGAAAACGTTGTGAAAATACTATAATTTACGACAATGTGTGATACTGGCATGCAAAGGAGAGTGTAGGCCATGCAATGCAATTCTTAATCTACTCCCCCACCAACTGAAATACTCCCTAACAAGTACACGTGTCAGTATTATAAAAAACATTCACTTCAATTGTTTCCTACTAGTTAAAATATTTCATGACAGTTCTAAGTTTTTATTAATCGTGTGTCAGAAAAGAAATTCACTTTATAAAAATAATCAGGCAATTTGTAAATATCCGCTTTTACTTACAACAATCTAGGCTCTAGTCAAATTTTGTCTTTCTCTTTAACAAATTGTTAGTTAAAGCAGTTGACTCGCTAAGATCATTTTCATTAGTTTCCACCCAGATACGTGTATGATAAAACTGTTGTCATATGATAAATAATTTGCATCAGAAGAACGCTCATCGTATTAAAAACATCAACTTATAACATACCTTTAACGTACATAAACTATTTCCAAATTCACTTCCTATAAACTCGCCTTACCGTTCATACTCGCTTATAAATCGAGTCCAACTGCAAACGATAGAGGCCCTGATCCGTCGTTGCAAAACGCGCCTGCAGATCAATATCTATATGTTTTGTTCTACTGATTACTCTTTAACAAATACACCCCCCCAAAAAAACCAATTTATTGTCTATGCGGTTTGCAGCGTGACTCCACTAAGCAAGCATAGAGGATATATTGCATAATAAAGAAAAAAAAATTCACTTTTGGTTGGAAAAATTGGGGAATCAGATTTGTTCAGTTTGATTAAAATCAGATATCCATTGTCCTTTGTGAAAATCTGACAGTGACCCTCTAAGGTCATGTTCTGGTGATCGTTGAATTAGCCAATGGAAATGCAGCATCAAAACATCTGAAAGTGAAATCAAATGGTTCTGTATAGATTGATGCTTTTCAGCCACACTGCTCAGTCTCCCAAATGCGAAAATAGAAGACTTCATCGGACTGACTGAAAAAATTAGCGCTTATGGTAATAAAACTGAGCACCAGAACTTGGCCCCTTAGTATTCACTGTTAGATCTTCACGTATAACAGTTGGAGATCTTATTTTATTAAGATTGCATATTTGCTAGTTGTGGTTGTTTTGTTTAAACATTCAGTAAAAATATTCCAATAACGGAAAGATCAGGCATTGTCCCTGGTCATTTTCGTACGCACTAAGAAGATAATTACCGTACTACAATAAATTTAGTGATGTTTGTAACAAATAAAATGAATGAGGTGCTGCGTGTACTCAAACAAGCTGCTGTTCAAAATTATCTTCCAGTATTTTATATGAAAGACTTTGAAATAAACTTTCTTCATTTTCCGCTAGAATAAAAAAAATATGATCTCTTTTTATTTGGTTCGTCAATGTTAATGTTCGCGGCGACTCCCATTGATTAAATTATTCTTGCTTCATGTATAATTCACATCAGCAAATAAAGAACATGTCGAAGGAAAATATTTTGATGTAAAATCTGGATAAAATTCTTAACAGAGCTAAAAGATCTATAGAATGGCATGCCTCTGTGTCATTTTGCGATCCCCAAAAGGTGGGAATAGTCCTCACTTGTTATATAACCATGCGATAAATGTACCTTCATATTAATGCGACGTCTTCGCAACTGATTTGATTTTAATGATAGAGAAACAAATGTCAACGTCAGGACATTAAGTGTTTGATGAAATAGTCATCAAAACTGTTCTTTGTGAATAATAAATCTGACCAATTAAATCCAGTGTTAAATGGGTCATTCTCAGATTGTATCTGCAAAGGGATGGATGTTTCAAAAATATTGTTACAAGCCAGTAGTCTCTGCTTCACCGAGCGGTGTCAAAACCCTGGCACAATTCCCGCTAGAAGTCGTTAAGTTTACCTCAGATTTCCAAAGACTTCTATACAACTTCAGTTGTAAGTTAAAAAGCCCGACGTGTCCATTCTATACATAATTTTTATTCTAATCAATGCAAGACCACATTATTCACAACTTGCCAAATATATATATATATATATATATATATATATATATATATATATATATATATATATATATATATATATATATATATATATATATATATATATATATATATATATATATATATATATCGTTCACACCGTAGAAACTCTACAACTATTACCTAACACAGGGAACTTTTTTGACTTAGGCCGGTGAGTCTATGGTTTCAATGCGCATCACGCCAGTACAACTGTATCACATTTGCCATCATGTCGACATAAACGGTATCTGCCAAGTCCCTTCTTGTTTATTTCATTGTGTAATTTACCGGTTTCCTACCGCAGATACTGCCACTGCAGTCACAACACCAATGTACACTACTAGATTTTAATAGGGACTACATTATTACAGGGACAGCCATGCGGTATGAATCTGAATTCACTACTCATTGACCATGGCATTATGGAAACTCGCTAACACTTTCTCTGTGGCGTTTGCTCCTAGTAAATGGCTAATTTCTGGTTAAGGAATATTTCCCATTGCATCGAATTCCAATAATCAAACAAGTAATCACACAAATCTACAAATTGCTTAAACCGAGCGCTATAACCAAATGCGCATCTCCAAAATTTTATTACAATATGCACAGCCAGGAATGTGTGCAAGATATTTACCGCTACTCGTAATGGTCCGTCTTTCTTTTTCCATCAACCGTTCATGTAATAGTTGTGTAACTCTAAATAATTAAAACATTTTATTGCTGGATCCTTAATTGGAATTAGACAATTATGTTCGAAACCATAGAATTGAAATAGTGTTCATTACCAATTAAAACATACAAATACACATATCATAGAGGTCGACACATTAGCAAACATACATTCCTCCCATAGAATAACAGGAGGCAACTTGTTTCTAAATTTATTACAATTGTTTTCCTCTGTAATATCAATTTCTTTTTGATATTGAGTTATGAAGAATAATGACACTTTAAGGCAATTTTTATAGAAATTTAAAATGCCAATTTGTGACATTTGCTTTGACATAGATTGAAATAATTACAATAACTTTATTTGTCTGAAATAGTGTTTCTAGGTAACAAACTTTTGCATTAGGCATTTAAATTTTTATCCTGCAATCTTCAGTTTAACAAATAATTTTCATATAAAATTGTATCTCAGAAGCTTTTTGAGGCAAGAGGCGAGAAAGAAGAACCGGGGAGTCGATTTAATAACATTACATTTTTTATGTTTTTTTAAAACCTATCTGTACATGTATTACAGTACATTTATTACAGTCAATACATTTAATACAGTCAATACATACAAACATTTGCACATAAATTAAATTTTAGATGCAGCAGACCAGTGGTGTTCAAACTTCTTGAAGCTATTGACCCCGTAGAATGTCGTAGTCAGATGGCGGACCCCTATCAGCCTATCCAATAAATTTGGGACAAAATACATTTTTATTATTTTATGTAATCCATCTAAGACAACAGTAAGTGATAACAATAGAATAGAACAGAGTCAGTACAGAATAGACAGCTCAGTATTCAGTTG